AATGACTTTTACATACTTTGATGCATGATAAATAATTCTAGAAGATTATCTGCACTGGAGAGATTCCTGACTCTTGGGTGAATCAGAGCATATAAGCACATATATAAATAGACAGATCATATAGCACAACCACACACCCTGTGGAGAACCTACCATGTGCCAGGTAACTGTCTCTGCCACAAAGTGCCAAGAGTGCTGAAACATTCTGTCATGGGCTTTTCAGCTGCCTCCAGAACTCACCCAGATTGACACCAATTTGCCTGTTCTATCCCGCTGTTCTCTCAGCTCCTCTGTCTGGTTCTCAGATTCCAATTTGGCATTCTCTCTTGGCTTCTAATGCTTGGCTCAAGATCTCTAGTTGCTTGTAGACAAAATTTCCTGGCTCAAAATTTCCTGGTCATTTCCCCTCAGAGATGTTTCTGGTATTTGCTCTTGTGACCCAAGTATAGCAAATTATGGACAAAAGACACTACTGACATCTGCTGTTGCCCCAGAACCTCTAGAGCCAGTCATCCAGAAAAAAAAAAAAAACTAGACACCAGACATATTTGAACCACTTTTATTCCAACATATACAAGACTTCAGGACTTGGATCATTTTCATCTGCCTACCTGGAACAATGTTATCTGAAATGAAGCACTATTTGTTACCCTACGCTCCCCCAACTCCAACCACATGAGTTCATGTGCATCAGAGCTGCATATGTTGGAATTCTTTCTATAATTTTCCTCTTATTCTAGGGATTTCCTACATGACCTTCAAATCCAGCTGAAGTGTCATTTCCTTCTGGAAGCGTTTGGACATCTCATGCCAAGTGAGATGACCCTTATCTGTGGCCCCACGTTAGTTAATTCACTCTTTGGTAATTGTTTCACTTGCTCATCTGTTTTCCAAATGTACAAAGAATTCCACAGAGTCTTAGACAGCATTTCACTCATCTCTGAATCCCCCATGCCAAGGACAGAGCCTGAAATGAAGTAGATTCTTCATTAAGTGTGGATTCACTGTGTGAATACATTCCTAAAGTTGACTATTTGACAGTTAAATTCTGCATTCCTAGAACTCTTCACGGGTCAGGGTCTGGATCAGAAATAGTTTCATCCTTTCTGTTTATAATGACACCAAGTTCTCCTGCTGCTGCCTGCTTTTCTCAGGTTTCATTGGGAATAAATATTTTTTTTGAAATTTTTTCCCCTGTGGAGTGTGTGGACATTCCTTTTGTTGTAAATACTTGTCTTGGAAACTCTCTCTTCTGCTGGGATACCAGCATTCATTCAGTGCATTTTTATGAGAAGTATTATACGAAGTACTCAGAGCACTATGTCTTAATTATCTAACTTCTCATTTATTATGAAAATCTCTTCTTTCTACCGCCTTACCTCCTTATATTTTCTACTGATGTCATTTCAGCTCAGCATAATCTTTCATTGTTGGAGAGTCCTAGTCTACTCCTGAAATCAGCCATCTTTATATTTACTTGAGGAATCTCCAGTTTGTTCAAGTAGCAAATCTCCTGGAAGAATGATGCATGCAGATGCACTGCAATTTTATTTAAAGGAGAAGCCATTTCACTGACAGAAAACACTCCTAAATTATATGTACACAACCTAAAAATCACAACATTAAATGCACAGATCCTTGGAAAGAAATAAGTTGGTGAAATAAATAGAATGACTAAAGTTATTTATGCTATACTTCTCTATGTTGTAGAAAAGTGGGCTAGAAATATTCCACCATAGAGTAAACCATGGTGAAGATTCAGTTTTGCTGATGAGCCAGAATTTCTCCCCCAGAGGAAAGGTAGCTTATACATTGCAGAGTGTGTAATTATGTCTTGTAAGGTGGTTTCCTAAATATGTTTCTGTAGAACTTATGGCTTTGTCCACAAAATTTTATAGTTGCAATATTTTTCCTGATTTATAGGTTAAGTTAATGAATATCATTTAGTCCTTTTGTGTTGTTCTTTCATGATTTTTCCTCACTTTAATATTTTCTGTTACCTTCCAGTACACTGCAAAACTAATTTACAAGTGGTAAATGTGGGTTAAAGCAATCATCCTAAGAAAAATACTACTAATAATCACCCTTAATCATCAGTTCCAATATATCAAGGGTCTGTTAAAAGTTTCATATACATGTTGTAATTTAGGCAGCATTTCACTAATAACATTAGAAGATATTATTTCCATTTTCTACATGAGAAAACTGAGGCTACTGAGGATAAACAACTAACCTAGTGTCTCTTCCAGTTTCTGCTTCCCCTTCATTATTCTCTTGCCTACCTGTTTAATTATCCTCTGGCAAGAGTACTACAGTAGGCAGAGGATGGTGTTTCTATTTAAATGCTTTGTGATGTTTGTGTAATGGATAAAATTAACCCAGAACTTATTAGACTAGGTTCCATAAAACTTTCCTTGTGTTTCTACTTTTGATGGGGAGTGCGTCATTTTTTTTTATTTGTTTAGTTTTTGCCATATTAAAAAATGAAACTAGAATACTTCTAACAATGGCCTGTTGCAATGGGAGTTCTGTAGTGTTAGCAAGGTTTTCCCAGTTAGTTCTTAGGTTAGCTGCCTTCTTTCAAGTCCTGTATTCATCACTGGTAGGATGCTAACTTCAGTGGTTTTGATAGCAAAGCAGGTACAGCCAGAAGTATGTTAATTGTAACCCAATTTGTGGAATGTTATATTTTTCCCTTACAGAGAGAAATAGAATTCTCTGAATTTACAGTCACCAGGGAGCTTTATTGACACGTGAAATTCTGAACATCATCTAGATAAATTATTGAATTTTGTCCAGATACATCACATGATTTGAGCTGCTTTCCAGCACATCTGGGTCCAGAAATCAATGAATGAATCGTGCTCATCAAAAGAGATCATTCTTCATCTGTGACAGAGTATGGGAAATAGATTTGTGTTAATTTTTAATAAGATTCACAAATAACATCCCTTTGAGGCACAGAAAAGAATAAAGCTGTGCCATGTTTTCTCTAAAATACATTAAAAACCCACATCAAATATACACCAAGGCATATATAAAAATACTAACAATTATACCCCAAATGGTCATACACAAGAGCATCCATTTGTTTAAAATGTGTCTCAGGACCGGTGCACCCACCACACAGATCACCATCTGGCTTTCCACTAGCACTCAGCCAGCATGGTCCCTGTGATAAGTGTACCTCTGGAGGCCTGCTCTCTGCTTTCCCAGGGTAACTGGGAAAGTCACAGTGGTGAACAAATATTCCTACCCTTCTTTCATTCTCTCATGCATTATGGTATAATGCACGCTTAGTAGCTTACAATCTGGCTAGCGTCTTTTCAAAAAGGTCTTTGTGAGCATTAGGTACATTATGATAACAAGTATGACATAGGAACATTGCTAAATGCTAGTATTAAGGAACAAATCATGTGTGCATACTGGTATTGGACATTGTTGACCTCTCATGCCTTATGATACAGTGAAATCTTGAAATTTCCTATCTTATGACAGGTAGAATCTCCTTTATCTGCTCTTCTTGTTTAGTTTTGATGTTTTTCAGACCTCAGTATATACTTCCTTTCTCTTCTCCTTTCACAACCACTAATGGGTTAATCAACTTATTTTACTGCCTCTCTCTTTCACTTATATGATTTTGCTCTCTTTTCTAAACTTTGCCCAACAATTCAGATATATAAACCTAAATATGTGTACTTGACAGTATCTCAAAATCAGTATATCATCTGGGCATGATGGCACATTCCAGTAATCCCAGCTACTCGGGAAATGAACAAGAGGATTGCAAGTTCAAGGTCAGTCTGGGCAACTCAGCAATACCTTATTTCAAAATAAAATAAAAATAAAAAGGACTGTAGTTATAGGCCAGAGGGAACTATGAGTCATTCAATTCAAGCCCCAGTACTGAGGGGGAAAAATCAGTGTATCAGAAAAAGGACCAATTATCTCCACATCCTCCACACTGATTGTTCTAGTTGGTGCTCCAAGCTTTTCCAGGAATATGGAAGTCATTCTTGACTTATATCTCTCTTACATATCCCTCATTTAATCCATTATCAAATCATGCCAACTAATAAGACATCTTCTAAGTGTTTCTAGAATGTATTCCCTTCATGTTCTTCTCCATATCTACTTCTGCCAACCAGTTGAGGCCCTTGCCATTTGCCTATACAATTTCAGAATCTTCCTGTTTTCTCTTATTCTGGTATTTCTCTAACATCTTAATGAATTTTCTACACAATAATAAAAGTGTTTTCTCTAAAATATACACCAGATCATATTACTCCAGTCCTTAAAATACTGAGAGGACCCTACCCCCATTAACTATGGCAGTTAAGTTCTTTAAGGTGGTATATACATACTTTTATGTCCTGACACATTTTACTTCTTATCTCACTCTCAACCTCACATTGTATACTCTAATAAATATGCATCTTATTCCTTGAGACATTTGTGTCTCCATTCATTTAAATTGAACAGGAATTGCCGCAGTCTGGCTGCAGCAAAATAACCTGGGGGGGTGACGAGCAACTTGTGTAGATTGATACAGCAGGAGTGGGAGCCGTTTATTGTAGGACAGGAGGGGTATATATACATTCCACACAGCCTATCTTAATTAACATAAACTAGACACAGCAGTCAACCAATAAGGAATCTCCACACTTAATGGCTCGATGGCGCTACCTCACAAACCACTCCTCCTGGCAAAATGCCAGGCGCCATCCTGACTTGTTTACAGACCCTAACAAGGAACATCCATCTTTCTTTTATCTTTCAAGATGTCATTTTCTTCCAGCAGTCACAAATTAAACCAAAGTTGGACTAAGTGCTTCTCTGTGCTCATAAAATACAATACAATATATGTATGTTATTCTTATTATTTATATGATCATATCCCACCCTATCCACTAAGATAAGCTACTTTGAGACCTGCTTCCTGATTTTATTCTTTTGTCCATTCTTCTTTCTTCTCCTAGTGCCTTGAAGAATACCTGACATGTAATACATGCTCGGAAAACATTTCCTGATCTTCACTGAGAGCTGCTTTGAACATTACTATGGATTCACAGGGCATGTCTTAAAAGTTGGCATCCTTCATAATTGTATTTTTCTATTCAATTAAAAAGTGTTTAGTAAACTCCTTTCTGATACTAACAGAGTGAGGTCCAAGAGGAAGGTAAGGTGTGATTGATAATTGCAAGGAACTTGCTAGTACTATTAAGCATATAAGATTTTCACATTTATTACTCATTTCATAAAATATATATGCTTAGTAAATATCTACGTTTTAGTACTCCATATGCCATATATACATAAAATACTATAGTCATCTCTAGTGTGCCAGGTGTTATGACAGGTGTTGAGGAAATGACAACTAATAAGACATAATCCTTGCTTCCAAGGAGTTTACAGTCTAGTTTGGGAGTAAATGGAGAAGGGTTGGGAATTTACAATGCCATATGATGAGTTCTTTAGGGGCTGGACATTGTGTTAGGTACTAGAAAGAGGTATGAGTGAGGGACTGCACCTTTCTTTGAGGAGCTCACACAGTTACTGTCGCCATGGAAGATGCATGCAGTTCAGGCCAAAGAAATCAGAGAAAGGAGAGAAGCATGAGAGTTGAGAAGTGGACAAAGATTTCATGCCAGATATGAGAACTGAGTTTTGACATTGAGGACTAGGTTAATGAGCTATTATTTGACTCATCAGATAAATCAATAATCGCTCAGAGTAGAGAGGATATAATTATAATTAAATTGCAGTATGTTTTTCATTCTTCCTCTTTATCCTGGAGGAAAAACAAATAATTTCTTGTTATGCTCTAGCTATCACAGTGGCTCTGTCCTTTCATTCACAGTCAAGTTTCATAAAGGAAATGTATCTTTGAAAATTATGCATAATGATAGAGGATAGTTGAAATAATATTTAAAAATCGTTATTGGGAAACATAGTGACCTGTCTCTGGAATATTTTGTCCTAGTTTTCTTCTGGAATGCTGTAGGAAGAGACTACCTTAACATTCTAATCTGTGTGAAACCAAGCAAGCATTACGAATCTCCCAGTTTAAGAATTTCAAAAAATGGGCCAGAAATTATTAATTCAAATATCAATTATCACGTTATTTAACAAAATCTCAATAGAAATTGCAGCAGGAATCTTCATCAAATGATGTATGACATAATGGTTAGCAGATGCCTCCATATGAAGCAATACCAAATGGCCCACAGATTATCATATCATATACATCAGGTCACCAGTGGCTCCTGGTGCTCAGGCACCATCGCCTCAAAGACAATGCTAATGCTACTTTTGATGAAGGAGGATTATGCTGCTTTGAAAAGTCCTTGTCCGGGAGCAAGATGACATTTTGGTTGATCCATGTCTTCCTGTTTGTTTAGACTCAAAAGTGACAAATGGCACACATATTTATGAATTAGCTTATCAAGTAAAGACACTTGTAATGGCCAAGATAGACATTGAGTGGAAGGCATTAGTAAATCATGTTCTGATCCAACAAAAGAGAGAACAACAACTCTGGTATGTTTCCTAGGCATGGAATTTTACCTTTTTTCTTTTTTTAAAGTAAAGTGAAAGTGGCAAAATTATGGAGGAAATACAGTTTATTGTTAACCTTCCCCATTCTCCAAATCAATCTTCAGAGGTATTTAATCTAGATTTTGGAAAGTTCTTTGGCCTTTTTCAGTCAAGCAAACATAAATATGTTTGGAATTATATCTAATTTTTAGGAGCCAGTTCAAGGTCTATTAAATAAGTAGAAACAATGTTTAATTAGATTCTCCTTCACAGAACTGTTCTCTGAATTTAAAGATCTCTTGAGGACAGTTCAAGAAAACTATGTTCCTGATTTACACAGAGTAAACTGTGCTTGATTCAATGCTGGGCCTATGAGCAATGCCCCACTGGTAACATGAGCCAGTGATAAACCAAGGTGATCTCCCTGACTTGCACTTTATATGTCACATTTTCATAGAGAAACTATATTAATATTACCAAAGTTGATTTCACAACAAGGAGAATTCAAGGGCTAAAATCATTGCATAATGATAAAAAGGTTAGCTCACCAAGATATAACAACTTTCCATGCACCTATGAAGAGACCATCAGCATACATGAAGTTGTTTTAAACTAAGAGGAAAAGTAGATAGCTCTACAAATATACTTGTCCCTTAGTAACTGATAAAAGAAGTAGACCAAAAAAAAAAAAATCCCTTGTCAGAGAAGACCTGACAAGACTATGGACCAAATTGCTTTAACAAGATATTTTTAAAACATTCCACACAAGTCAGAATATATTTTGCTTTTCCTAAAAGCACAGGGAACATTATCCAAAATAGTTTATGAGTATAAAAGAATATTTACCATATTTAAAGTCATTGAAACTGAACAAAAGTATACACAGTATACTCTCACACCATAATGGAATTAAATTAGAAAATAATAAAAGAAAGACATTTGAAAAATTCTCAATATTTGAAATAAAATGACCTTTGAGTTTAAGAGAAAATTATGTAAGAAATGTGAAGTTAATTTGAACTTAATGAAAATGAAAATAAAAATTATTTGGAAAGCAGCTAAAGCAGTATTACATGGAAATTTATAGCATTTTTGAAAGGTCATGAATCACAGATTTAGAGTTCTACTTTAATAAACTAGAAAAAAAATGAGTAAATTAATATCAAAGCAAAAATAATAGTACTATAATGAGAAAATCAGAAATCTTTAAAATTAAAAACAAAAAGAAAGTCAATGAAACCAAAATCCTATTATATGGGAAAGATCAACAAAATTGAAACATATCTACCTAGACTGACTGCTTGATGAATAATATATTAAAATTAAGATTGTTGATTTAAAAAAAATATTAAAGGAAAAAATCATACTTCAAAAGAAGATTTTTACAACATGAGTATAAATCAAAGGTTCAGTATCTACATTCAAGAATGTATGGAGAACTTCTAAAAATTAATTAGAAAAATGAAACAATTCAACCCAGAAAGAAATAGGCAAAAGGTTTATAAAAAACAACTCATAAAATAGGAAACACCTAAGGCCGTTAAACATTTATTAACATGTTCTGATTGCTAGCCAGTAAAAGTCATATTTGAAGCATGAGAGACCTTTCATGTTCATAAACTTGATATGTATGTATAGGTGAAACTATATGCAAACTGATGCTCTGTAAATTGCTGTTGAAAATGTTAATTGGTATCAACAATACATAAGCATTTAGAATTTGACATTAAGGTAAAGATGGTTAAGGTCTATGAGGAAACAATTTAACTTTGAAGTGTGTACCTTAAAGAAACTATGGAAACTGTGTTAAATATGCTTGGATAAGCATTGCAAAAGTGTATTTTAAAATATTATTTGTAATGGGGGAAACAGCAGTAGTTTAACTTTATGTGATATAATAACAGTAAATTTTGAAATAAAAAATTATTGCATGTTATTTTTGGATACTTATAATAAAGATTTAAAAAGGATTGGGAGTGATAAACTACAATATCATAATAGTTATTTAAGGAGGTAGGGAATGGAGATGGGAGTATTTCTCTATCATTAAGGGATTTTTTTGTAGATATCAGAAATGAAGAAAAAAAAATTTTAGAAAAGGAAATAAATACTGCAGTTCCTTGTAACTTCTATTTATAAAATTTATACAATTCATTTTACAATCCTTTTTATTCAATGATATTTTAGTGTTAGTCAACTGAGTTATCCAGGGAGAAAGATAAAGAAGAACAAGGACTCTTATCCATCTGCTCCTTTTAGCCACTATTCTTAAGTCAGGCAGGACCAGATTGGAATGTATATATTTAGATAATTCTTTTTTTTTAATTGTCCTTTTTAGATATACATGATGGTAGAGTGTATTTTGACATATTATACATACATGGAGTAGAACTTATTCTGATGAGGATCCTATTTTTGTGGTTGTACATGAAAATCCCTGAAGTCCCATGCTCTCTGACTCTGACAAATTTATTTATTTATATTTTTAATGGGGTGGTGGCTTTACTGGCACTAGAGCTGCCATGTTGGAAATAATTTAATTTCAACTCTTCTGCACATATTTTCAAATATTTTGGAGGTTAAGTGTTATTTGAATACCTTTGCTTGCCTTCCTAAAGCAACTTACATTAACTGAGGACAAATTTTTAAAAATAAGAAGTCAACAACAGAATGCTATATACAATTCTATATAGCAATTTAAAATATGACTGTGAAAAATCTTAACTTAATGTAAAAAACTTAATGTAAAAATACATTCCCACAGTACTAATGAGTAAAAAAAATTTCAAATACATATTATGATCATAGTAATGTAAAAAAATGTTAACAATAATTAGAAGTACATGCATGCAAAGATACCTCTATTGCCAGGATTTGAGTCAAGGAAAACTAGGTGTGTGAAAAAAATTAACTATATTGATAGAATCCATGGGCATGTTTTACTTTTTCTCTATTGTATATTATGCAACATACATAGCAGTCATCTACAGTTATAATTTAGAATATCCAACTTCAGACCAAAGAGAAATAATTTAGATGAAGAAAACTTTAGAAATATAATGCCTTTTTTTCCTGCTTTCTAGAAATAGGGAGGTAAATTGGACTTCTTTATCTTTTGACTATGGCTGATTTAAAAAATAGTTAATTTTAGTTTTATTTACCTATTTGTGGTAGAATTTGGCCATGAAAGGAGCACATTTTCCCATCTCTGTGATCATCACTTTTGTCACAGACCTAATATAAAATACGATTTTAATTTAAATTCTGAAGTCAAATAGTGACTAGATTTCTTACTTTCTAAAGTAGAGTACTTCCAAGATTAGAGATTCCAGATGACTTCTTTGCAAAAGGGATGGTTTATATTTTCTCTCCACTTGTATCTACAACAAAGCAGTATTTGGAGTTGGTATCTACCACATAGAATTAAATATAAAAGAAATCTTAATAAAAAATAAAGTGAAGCTACCTTCCATTATATCCCCCAAATCAAAGTTGTATGCTTGAGCTCTTCTAAGAAACAAGTGAAATGGCAATTCTCTAGCATTGAACAATATCTAAATCAAGTATTCTGATGCCATTTGCCAAACAGAAGACTGCGAACATAAAAATGCTTGCTAGGTATTTTTTTTCATTCTCCTCCTGTTTAGATTTCTCATCCATAATATATTGGATTGACTTTCTTATGAGGGCAGCTCACAAGGTTTTTCTCCAAGTGTCTTAAGATGAATAAAGTAACAAAATGTAAACCCACATTTCTAAATTAATAAGGTGTTTATTTTATACCAACATGTGGGATAAAGAATAAAATTCTGTTTGTTATATCAGCTAATCTCGTGTAGTTACAATCTTGGTCCCTTTAATAGTTTTGTTATTCTCAAAATTGTAATTTGAAATCAGTGACACCTGAATTATTGAAAAGCTCTGGTGGAGAAATATTCATATAGTCTAATTTGACATTTTGAGACCTGGATTTCCTTATACATATTTTGTATTTTTACAGGATGCCAGATATTATTTCTCATACAGGATAGATCTTCAGATTGATAAAGATATATATGGAATCACAATGATCTTTGCTACAGTTGTTCCATCTGCTGGAAAGTTTTTATCCAGGTAGCTGCTTTTAGCTCCTTCCTCAATTTCAAATCTCTGTTCAATGTTCGGTTTCTCCACAAGGTTCCACCTTAAAACTCTGCAAATTCCTTGTACTCATACTCCTGCCCCCATGTCCCTGATTCCTTATACTTTGATCTATTTTTTTTCCCATAGCAATTACCAAGTTCTACTACATTATAGAATTTACTTATTTCTTATATGCATGATAAATGTATTTTTATTCCACCTAGAATTTAAGCTCCATGAGGGCAGGAATTTTTGTCTATTTTGTTCAGTATATATCACAAGTATATAAAACATTTCCTGGCTCATGACAGACACTCAATATTTACTTATTTATTTGTTCAATTATTTAAAATCAAAAGACATATCAATAAAATGTCAGTAGGTTACTCCACTGTTTTTAGAATATGTGATATAGCATATCCTACTATAACATGACTTCAAATAATATTCCCTTGTATAGTCACTGAACAAAGACATTACTGGTACCCCAGAATACATGAATTCTGATAAACAATTTAAAATTGTTGCCACTAAGCATATGACTGCTAAGTTCAGTGGTCAGGTTATAGTCAGGGGGAATTTTTAGTAGAATGTTTTCTAATTCTTCTTTCCATGTTGTACAGGTATTTAACAGGAAATATTTTGTTCTGAAAATGGCTCTTCAAGCTGTAGACCAACAAAATACCTCCTTCTCTACTATAGATATACAGCTGCAAGAATCAGGAAAAGGTGAAAATACAAGAAAGAGAGAAGCATAAGATTGTGACTTTTAGTTTCAAAGGTTGAGCAGTTAGTGAGACAGGCATAGAGGCATGTATTTAAGAGATGTTATTTTAAGTCGTTATATGAGAAACTAATGTAACAGAAATGGAGTAGGACTAAATAATTTATATACCCATAACTGTATTCCCTGGATATTCTTGGTGTCAGAGTGAACAAGTTGTTCCAAAGCGGCCTCATTCAAGGAAATCTAAAAGAATAGGCAAACCTTGTAGAAAATGTATTTGAATGGCCCTAAGTAGCTAGGCTAAGCCATAATCGAGGGCTCTTGCATCTGTGTGCTGCTCAGGATGATGGATGGTGTAAGTGCAGCCTGATTAATGTCTGGGGATGGACAGAGAGCTAATGCAGGAGAGTCAGCAGCTTGTAAATAAATCTATTACCCACATCTTGGATGAATCTGACCTTTGTAGTGCCAGAGTGGATGACAATACAATGCACTGGAATCAAGAGGCAGCTCCAAGAAAAATCTGTACTTCATTTTGAAATAAAATTTTAATGATGAGCCAATAGCAGAACCTATAGGCATTTGTAGACTTTCTGCCCTTAATATTGTGTATTTTACTACAATAACATATTTCATATATATAGAGAGAGAGAAAAAAATACATCTGCTTTATTTGGGGTACCTAAATTTTGTTTCTTAAAACGTATATTGATGCATTGTTTTTATCAAATGCTTCGAATACATCAGTCTTGACAAAACTCTGTTATAAAATATAATTGTTATTATCTATTGTAAAGTCAGTTTTTTGAGATGAAAACATCATATTTCTATTTAATTCCTTTTATCAACTTGGAATTTATTAATATAATTTTTACTTAAAAGTTACCATGTTTCTGAACTTAGGATGTCTTCAATTTCTTTCTTTTTTATAATTCATTTTTTATTAACCTGTATTAATTATATATACAATGGGTTCAGCGTGTTAGTTTAACAGATCGTACGTGAACTGATCAAATTCAGTCTCCTTTTATCCACCCTCTTCCTAGCACCATTCCCAACCTCTAGTTATCAGTTTGGCTTTTTAAATTTCCCCATGTGACAGCAAACATGAGGTACCTGTCTCCTGTGTCTGGCTTATTTCATGTAACATGATGTCTTCCAGTTCCATCCATTTACTGCAAATGAAAGGATTTCATTATTCTTTATGACTGAATAATAGAAGTCCTATCAGTAAGCAGGAAGGCATAGCAACACAGCTGATAATGACACAGTGGTAGGGGTCACCAGACCTGAGTTTGAGTGCCAGCTCCACTGTTTATTATCTGAATGACTGGTCAAGTCAATGGCCTCATTGAGCTTCAGTTATCTCCTCCATAACAAAAGGAAGAATGTACCTCACAGAGCTCTTGCAAGAGTTCAATATGATAACACATATTTTGTATATTTTAGTACTTTTATTCCCCTAACTAATTTCACTCTTTTCTTCATTGTATGCTTATACAAAAGGATAGATAGTTTCTCCTAGTTATAGTTTTGGAGGGAAAAAAACTAAAAAAAAATAATGGTGAATTCATATACTTGAACATAATATCTTTTCCTATGAATTTCTGGGTTACTCCTTTTCATTCTGAGTCATTCCACTCTAAATATAGCTTAATTCACAACAATTTTTTACCTTGTACAAATAAGTTACTCTCTTTTTTTCCTATTATAAAAGATATCCCTCAGACAAAAGAAATACACTTTAGGATTGTTAAAGTGGCTCTGTAAAGGATCAGGAGAGTAAGAACATTACAAATCTCAATAAGGCGTTAGCCACTATTACCTACTGTTCTCAGACATGTTCAGAAGTATCTCCAATCCATTTTGCTGCTTCTTGTCTCTTCCACTTGTTCACAAAAGTCCATGGCCTTTTCCTTCACACAGATGCAGTTGGAACCTACTTATCTAGCCAGACTCAGTTCATTTGCTATTCTCCCCTAACAGTTTCTTGGCTGCTACCTATCCTCACCTCTGCTCCCTCCTTTATAGAAGAAATCATTTCTTCCATTCTATTCCATTCTACCTTAAGCATCCTGCCAATATGTTTTCTTGGACATAAATTTACTTGCAGTCTGTCTTTGTTCATTAGATGCAAAGGCCATGAATCTACAGCCACAAGCTGTATCTTATTCCACTGGGAACACTCTCCTATGGGTGTTACTCAAAACATAGTTATTACTGTTAGTCCAGGGTTAGCATCTACCACTCCAACCCTGACTTAGTTCTCTAATTCTAGTGAGCTGCCTATAACTAATTGTGTGTGTGTGTGTGTGTGTGTGTGTTATGAGAAATGATAGAGACTTCTTGTAGAAATACAGCAGTTTAAAAGGGATACCTGTTTGCCTAGAACTTCCTGGCATGCAGGAAGTACTTAATTTTAGCCATCCTTATATTTAAATAATAAACACATAAATAACAATAGGAAACTTAAAAAAATAAATAGATTTGATTTCGTAATTTAAAGTATACTGAGGACGGAGGATTTACACAATGATTTTCATCCATTTCTAGACCAGTTGATATGGAGGCTCATAATGGCTACATTTATTTTGAGGGCAGTCTCTGAGAAGTTTTCCTCCTTTATAAATTCTGAAACTTAGCTCCTAAGAAACAGATATTATCCATCTGCTGGGAAGGAAACAGTCATATGATATTAATTTTCTACTTATATTTTAAAACATAGATGATTTTCTTTAGGGCATAGCTCTGTAGGGCAATACTAATTTGTACGGTTCTCTCATATTAATTCCCATACTTCTGTAAATTAGAAGTAGCTTTTTAAAATCCTGGTGCAGCATTTGAACCAAGCTTCTCTAAAACACCAAATCACCTCTAATGGCATTAGCTCACAGCCAAAGGAAAGCAGTACTTAGGGACTCACAGAATATTTCTGAGAATTAAGGGGTTGACATTTTTGCCAATTGGCTAATTCATTTATAGTGGCTTGACTTCATATGAATGTGAACTATTCCATTGGAATTATAATATTAGATTGACACATCTAAGATATTAGATTGACACATCTATGAATTTTTTTTGCCCCGTTTTCTTTTTTTCTAGTAAATCAATAATGAATGTCCAGGCACCAAAATTATACCTCAATCAAGGTTATTTTCACCATGTCGAACTATTCTAGTATCATATCTAGTCAAACTGGAAATTGTGCTGTTAAAGATATTTTTCATGCATAGTTTAATAATTCAGCTACCTGTAGCCCTGGGAAAAGTACATACCTGGAAGTCTACTCTTTGGCAAAGTCATAGCCAATTATATTAATCAAAATTTAAATCCCCTCAAAATAACTGTCAGAATTATCTGTGGGAAAGCAAAGTGTTCAGGACATTGCTACCTCATTGTTTCATTACCACAGTGCATTTTCTTCTTGATAATATTCCAGGGAAGAAGAAACTAAGGTAAATATACCATTTAAAAGTGGACTTGTAGTTCTTACTCCACAATTCCCAGCCTTTCTAAAACTCTGGAACCAGATGTTATGTGAGAAAAGAGTTATTCCTCTAAACCGTAAGCAAGGCTAAATACATTATCTCAAAGATCTATTTAATAAGATTCCAAATAGCTATGTTAACCACCAGTATTGAAATTTGTCTCCCAGTTGCTTTCCATCCATTCATTTTTTAACACATATGAGACATTGTTCTAGGCAGTTGGGCTATATCAAAGAATAAAGTTGTCAAGAATCTCCGCCATTGTAGAGGTCAGATTCCATTGCTGAAGGAGAGGTTAGGAAAACAGGCAATAAACAACAGGCTTAATAAAAAATTATTTTAATAAGTTAGAAAGTGATATAATAACTGGGAACAGGGGAAAAGCGAATCTAGAATAAGGGAAGAGGTTGTGATTTAGGGTGGTTTGGAATGAAAGGGCAGTGCCACCAAAATGGAGACCACCATCACCATGGGGAGAAGTACAGGAGTAACGAAAGTGAGGCTGCATATGTCTCTATTTTCAGGTGAGAAGACCCTTCAAAGTGTTGAAAACAAATCTCATTCTCCCTTTCTCCCACCTGTTGGGAGTATAATTTCTGGACTTGTCTCTGAGTGCTAGAGATAAAATAAATTATAAATGAAATTAACAATACTGCCTGAGCTCTCAGGTCCTATGAGACCCTGCCTAATTTAAGCTCTGGTGGGTAGTCTGTTTCCCATTAGTTCTCCCAATTCTCAGAGGATGCAGGAAGAAAGCACTAAATGAGGTATGCAACCCAATTCCTTGAGCATTATTAGTAACCAAGTAAATTAGTAATTTGACTAGAACAATCTCATTCAATTTATATTAATGCAAAATGCAGACATTCTTCAAAAGCCTTCAGCTATGTTGTAAGACACACCAAGGCATACTGCAGATAAATGAACTATCTGAAAGAAAAACACCTGACAATGCTAAATAAGTGCTGTGAAATAGAACGATCCCGCTAATCTGGAGTTAAGCCAGGGCTTTCTGGAAAAGTGAGAGCAGGGTTAGGCCTTGATAAACTCCAAGTGATGCAAAAGTGGAGGCAATTTGGGAAGAGGCTGCAGTATGGTGAAGACACAGAAGAAGAATCAGTGGTCCAGGGATGGTTTCAACAAAGGAGTCTGGTTGAGAGACTTCCTGGCTAGACTAATTAATACTAGACTAACAATGATCTCCACACCCAAAAGACTTTTGGGGGGTGAGGAGGTGAAAAACATTTATGTTATGCCTAAGACACAGAACTGAATCTGAGGAACTCACTTAGGGGAAATAGCTCTGTTATCTTTCACCTCAAAAAGTAAAACGGAGACTAAAAATAAATATTTCCAAAAAATCAAAAGGTACCTTCTTTTGCTTCGATTAAAACAAAATATTCCAGTAGCCTAAAAGTATGGCCTCACTTCTTTCTGTCATTATGGTTATAGACTTTGTACTTGAGTATAGAGCAAGATAAAAAAAATTATATAAGGATTGGACTGGAGAGAAGGGACAGAGAAACTAACAGGATAGCTAGCTCTTCGGTAAGATAAAGGCACCCCCAGCAAATACAGTTACTGCTCACATCAAGCCAACTGGCTGCGGGAACCCCTCCCTGAGCAGCCCAGAATACTAGGCTTGCCTATATTCCTGTAATTGAGTCCTGGGAAGCTGATAAGTCTGCAAACACATATTCTCAGTGATAAGCTCAGTCCACGTGTAAACCCAGATTTGGGAGAGGAATAGGGTAGGGCCGGTCGCACGCTTGACACTTCCTTTGGCTCCTTCCTCTGGTTCTCTGGCCATGCCCCCATCTAGTCCCTCTCCATCTCACCCCAACTCCAGGAGTTGATGGAATCTGGGTCCCTAATTATTGCCCCAAGAGGCCCTCCGCGGTGGGGACTGTCCCCCTCGCAGCCATCACTAAGACCCGGAGGCGTGGAATTTCAATTTGAAACTCCCGTGGCGCGTGAGGGCCGGCGCTGGGCATGCTCAGTAGCTGCGGCGCGTCTGGGCTGCCGCTAGCTCTGCACTGGCTGCCGCGCTGCCTGCTCTGGGCTGGCGCGGGAGTCCACACGACTGTCACCGCTGCGGCTGCGGGGCTTCCAGCAGGCCAAACGTTCGGCGCCTCTGAGCGACTCGCCCCCGGCCCGCTCTGGTCCCCCTCAGCTGCCGCCTCCTACTCTTCTTCCTCTCCCCATCTCTTCGGGAGGTGAAGCTGGTGCTTGTTTCTGTCGGCGCCACAGACCGCTCTGCAAACCTCAGACGAGGACCCTGAGAAGAAATCCTGGAGACCATAGGACCCTTGGCGGTGGCTCTTGATCATAGCACTTTGCCCGTAGTGGGGTCCGTGGCGGAGTTTCTCCTCCACCTCTCAATGCAAACACTATGCGGAGAGCAGTTGGCTTCCCTGCGCTGTGCCTGCTTCTTAATCTTCACGCTGCAGGTAAGGGGTTTCCGGGTGTAGAGCTGGAGCTGTGGATGAAATGGGAAACTGCACATGCTTAAGGACTCTAGGAAAAGCTTGCCTTGCAAAGACAGCCTTAGAAAGGCAAAGCAGGACAGTTTCCGACAGGCAAGGGGCGAGGAAATACACCTGTTGGCAGACTGAAGCTGAAAACTCAAGCCAAAATTGGCTCATAATGTCTCTTTACCTTATAGGAATAATAGTGAACATTTAAAAATATGAATACAGATTTGCTTCCCTTTCCCCGTCTCTCCATCTAGACTCCCTGCTTCTGCTTCTAGGCTATGCGCTTGACTGCCAATTTTTCCGGAGGGAGACCAGGCATCCTACTGGATGTAACCTTTTCTACTGCAGAGGCTACATGCATAAGGTCTCTTGGTTTAGCAAGCGCTCACAGGGATGCACTGGCTGTAACCTGATGGACCACATCTCCGCCCCAAAGATCGAAATACATGGTTCACATTAATGATGCTGCTCCAGGCTCCTTTGGCCCCTGCACTTGTCACTCGAATTTTCTAAACCAATAAGAGGAAGGAAAGGTTTCAAATAGGAGCCTCTCTTCTCTTTCAGCACCATGGTCAGCGTCCGCTGGCAGGCAATAAAAACCCAACCACAGTATCAAAGCTGACCACCCCAGGGGAAGGTACTGTCCCTGGGACAGGTTTGATGAGGTCTAGCCAATAATGACAGCGAGACTGCTCCCCAATCTAAATAGATGAGACATCATAACCAATATCAAGTATGGAAGCAAGCTTTAGGAAGTATGGAAATTTTATATTCAATGTCACTGCATGCCTTTTTTTCTGAATACATACCACCTCTGTGTAGTGCAGAGACTAGTTGGACTGAATCCTTTATGATTTTTTACACACACACATGAGCCAAAATAAAATATGGCAGAGAGATTTTAGGAACCCTACTGCGACAGCAGTTGTCCATGCCATAGTCCTGTAGCAACCAAAGACTAGTCATTTTCCCTGAGTATGTTTCACATCCAATCACACATATTCAGTCATTTCTCCAGCTAACATTTACTGAGTGTATACTGTGTTCCAAATATAATGGCTGTGAAACTATAATCTTTTTGATAGCTCTTAAAAATAGTGGATTTTTTCTATGTATACAGTAATGGGAGCAAAATATAGTACTTTTTATTCTAGCTATTTTAATGTATTGTGAATCTTTTGAACAAGTTATGTATAGGAGCATTAAAGCTATAATTAAGTATGCATGTTAATTGTTATAATTGCAATATTATATTGTGAAGTTTTTTATCTTTTGAAAATCAGAAAAAAACTATGACTTAATTATTAAATTATTTGCAAATAACTGTAATGAAGCCTATCATTATCATATAGAGTTCTTTAATGTTGAAATATGGGATGAAAACAATTACTTAACAATAACGCTGATACAAGAGTCTCAATTTTATCAAGTTTAGTAATGATTAGCTGATCAAAAATATCAGTGCAGTTATTTTCGAAGCTAACATATAAACAAATTTTAAAAATTACATTTAATATATTTGAAGTTATTATAGCTTACAAGTTAAAAACAAGATTATGCATGTAGAAAACATTTCCAATTTATTGTACATGAATATTTGGAGTGAGGAAATAGAGAACTTTAGTTCATCAAAAGAGAAACCTAGAAATCTGTAGCCCTAGATTATACTTGGAGCCCTGCCAAAGGGTGTTTTACAAAAGCCAAGTCAACCAATCTCTATTTTGATTTCTTAATTTGGAAAAAGAAAGATTAAAAGAATAAGATTATTCGACCAATTTGAATTTAATAAGGCAATGTAATTAAGGGCTGTTTTTAAAAGATATCAGTTGCAATATGCTGTATAGAAATTAATTGTATTCATATTTATTATTGTGCTTTAGATAGGTGTTTTAGCACAGCAGATTGCAAGTTTAATATTGCAGTTACTTGCCAGTTTCATTTTGGATGCATTTTAATTTTAAACAGTAATTTGTGGGTCACAAGCTGTCATCAGATTAAAATTAATCACAGTTATCTAATATCATTGTTAGGACATTTCATCAGAACTCAAAAAAAAAAACCCCACAGATTTGTTGATCTAACCCCCCGAAGATTTAGGTAATAAGAAAATTAGTGGGTAAGACTACAAAGATTAAAGAGTCACTGACTTTCTACTTGTTGAATGTCTATTTCCTTGACAGAGGCTGTTGTCTCAGGATGGGGTGAACTTCATAAAGAATGGAAATGAATTCCATATATTCAGGCCTTTTGACTAAAAATCTAATTGATTCATTCTGGTTATGCCCAGGTTACTAGCAATTATTTTACTCTGGCAGAACTGATGACATTTTAGAATGCTTTAGGAATGGGGGGAAAATGGCTGGCAGGATGTAAGTGTTCTTTTTAAGCTCTATTAGGGACTATTTCCTCTGATAGAGCCATGCCCCAAATGATAAGGCAACAAATTCTTTTTAACTTGAGTTCTAATTATTTAGTTACAGTGTGTGTGACACTGTGAAGGGGGAAGTAAAAGAATTCTGATCTTGATTCTGACTCAGAAGGAAGAAGTACTGTGATCTGGTTGCAATATCTATGGGAATATAAAGGACTGGGTTACAATGCTGTGTAATTGACATTGCTGTGAAGATAACCCTAAGGAACTGCTGAGAGTGGAGCTCCCTAGTGAATCTGGCCTCTGCATTTTCATAGATCTCTTTAACAAGCAAGTTATGGTTAATGTCCATTTACTTGTTTTACAGGTGAGAAAGCTAAGATCCAGAATAGTAAAGTACCAATTGACTGCATAGTCAGAAAGAAAACCCAGGGTCTCAGACCTGTGAGTGTATACTGTATAAAATAATGCACTAATTCTAATAGGTGATGCCACCATTGAGTTGATAGGGGTCAAATCCTTTTTACTTGACTTTCCTTATCTTTTACTGCTTCTGAGAACCACTGTGATATATAAACTCTAGTTAAAAAGACCACATCAGGAATATGCAAGAAGGCAACTAAGTTACCTCAATAATAGGGATGGTAGAGAAATAATTTCAATGAAGATCCACAGATAGCTTATGTTCTTCAGTGTTTCTTCTCTCTTTTATTTATTTATTTATTTATTTATTTTTTGAGGAGAGAGTATGACTGATAGGGTAGTGTTTTAGTTGCAAAGGAGTGAATTTCTTGGGATATCTTAAAATTTCTCTTGTGAAAACTTACTTTTTCTTAGTGAATGTTTTGGTAAGAAAATCAAGAAACTGATTTTAACCATTACTTTTTCCTTAAGCATGGGAAAGATTATTTCACATTTCCCAATTTTGTTACCATCGTCTTATCTGAATGGAACAAAGTCGACCTGAGTGTGTCTCTTGGAGCTGTCTCTTCATCTAAGAGAAATGTTCAGTGACTTTCTGTAGCCGCGGGAAGGAGAGATTCTATGGTGGGGCTAAGAGAATCCAGGAACTGAAGCACCACACTCAAAAGAAAGATTGGAATGTAACTAGTTGGATTCAGTTCAACTAGTCTCTGCAAAACACTCCTAGTCTACTGAGCCAATTCCAGAATGGACTTTAAAATAGAGTTCATTTTAAGATGTCTCTTAGAACGCCATAATCAGTTTTTCTGTACAAAAGTCATTTCCAATAGTACTTACAATGACCAAAGATCTGCTAGATTTCTATATGGCCATTGCCTTTTGGATAGTCATCTCACATGACTTTCCTGGTTTATTTCTCTCCAACCATATTGGCCTTTTGTTTTCTATTCCTAGAAGGTACTAGGCACTCACCCATCTCATATGTTTTACTTTCTTTCTTTCTTTTTTTTGACTGAAACACAATCTTCAATTATCTTCTTGGCTTTTCCTTAACAATTTTAGGTCTTTATTCAAATGTTCTCTTTTTAGTGGGGCTCTCAGTTGTTCTTCTATTTCATATTCCATCTCCCCTGCCACACACATGCACAAAAGGAACTGTGGTTCTCCTTCCCTGCTTAACTTTTTCCCAGAGGTCTTTCAACACTTAACTTACAATATGTTTTACTTATCTGTTTTTATTATTGTGTTTTTCTCTTTCTGCATGAAAATATAAGTTTGAGGGCACAAATTTTTGTCTATTTTATTTTTTGCTGTATCTATTAGAGATCTTGCCTTGCCTTGTACCTGGGGCAGTGCCCGGCATAAACCTATTGAAGACTAAATGAATATGTTGAAAAAAATAAACAATACAGTGCTATTTCTGGTCTCTCCATTTTGCATTTAATTTCTTCTTGGCATCCATGCAAAATGCTCTTAGTCAACTCAGCCACTTCCAGAATGGACTTGAATAGAATTCATTTGTTCAAAATTCATGGTACTCCATAGGAGTCTCACTTGCCCAGAGGATATAACATCTCTGGTAGATTGCTACCATTGTTAACTGAAGGACAACAAGGATGGACTTTCATGAGATCAAAACTACTGATCAACTCAATGACAGAGCACTTCAAACTGATCATCAGATGGCATAGGATCTGTCATAGTAACTATGGTGCTGTGAAAGGATTCGTACAGCTAATTTGCAAACAGAAAGTTTAAGTCACTGGGACAAACCTGTCTGCTTCTTTGGCACTTGAGAATCATAGGAAAATGTATATTAGAGATCACATCTTTCTAGTACCTTTGAGTCTATTTGTTATATTGGATAACACCCCCTGCCTAGCACCTGGTAAGAATTATGGGGCACATTATCCATATTTCTCCTCTCCTCTTTGTTTATTTTCTATTTCTCTACTAAGTCCAGTCCTCATTCTATCATGCTCTTGTTGAAAATGAGTATTTCAAGAGTAATGAATATTTACAGCATTTTTCTAATTTGATCTCTTTACAAATTTTGAAAATTCACTTGATTCCTTTGGATAGTTACTACTTACTTTTTTGCTTCCCTATTATCACTCCCGCTGTTTCTCAGTTTGTAATTTTAGGTGTTTCTCTGAATAGTATTTAAAGGTTGGCACTT